CAAAAATCCTATTTGAAAAGAGACGGAAGCCATCAACAAAACAAGCTCACTAAATCACCTGCATGTCCAAATCATAACAGGGAGCTTTCATAGATATTAGTTTAAAAAATCCCCCTAACATATTTTCCAGAAACGGGAGGCTTTAGGTAATATGTTCAGGTTTTGTTGGGTGTGGTTTTTTGGCATCTCTATGATCTGTCAATATTACTACATCAACATTTTCTTTCTTACATTTCTTTAAAGTCAATTTTATTATATTTCAGCAGTTCTACTATCTCACACATTTTTAGAATTCATAATTCCTAAATAATTTTTAAGAGAAAGTACTATTTTGTTTTTTGACATCTTTGTGTCTATGCTGTATAGTTAAATACAGGGTACACAATCATTTGCATATGAAATTTGCACTAGTATTAGATAGTAAGCGAGATGATTAGAAAAAAAGTCTAAGGAACATTGATTATATTATATATTTTTGCTTAGTTTTTATAAAATATTGGGTTTCTCCTAAGATAGTTGACTTATTTTTTCTGCCATGCCTATTTATTTTTGGGAAAAAAAAATATCTGAGACATAGAACCAAAGATAGAGATGCTTTGCTATATATATTATTACTAACTGTAATTGCTTTTGCAAGAAAATCTGGAATTCAAAAATAAAGTAAATGGATTACCTGCATGCAGTCTATATGTGTGAGAATAACATCTCAGCATGCAGAAAATAATTTTGGCAGCCTGGAACAGGATTGTTCATTCTACACTTCCCTGAAATTCCATTTGTGGAGTGTCTATTATTCAGTAAGTCAGTGGTTTCTTAAACAGACAGGCTTTTGGCTGTCATCATAACTAACAGTATCTGTATCTAAATATGGCCATCTGACCACATGTGGATGACAGCTAGAGTCATTGTATTCATAGCCTGGTTACTCTAGAGCATGAGTCCAGGCTGACTGCTTAAGAACCCATCTAGTTTGTTATAAACTGTAGAAAATGCAAACATTTTGTTCTGACTATAGTATCTCTAAATATATAGTCATTTGTTTCAAACCAAACACTCTGTATATTAGTAAAATAGTTCCAGTTGGTTCCAACAATATAAATACCAACTGGTAAGTCATTCCAGGCTAAAACAAAGAGTAGATGGACCAGAATCTGTGAGATTGGAAATGAGTCATAAAAAAGGCCTCCATTTGGTCAAATGTGACAATTATCCAAATATATTTAAAAGTACACAGCTGACAGTTGAAGTCTGAAACCAATGAAAAGCTTATTCTAACTTGAAATAAGACTTTAGTGAAAATAAATGTTATAAGGGCTACTTTATTTTAGAAACTTGACATAAAAATAAACACTAAAGGCTTAACATGAACTTGTCTGCATTTTTATTCTTAGAGTGAGACAACTGTTACTCTTAGGCTTTTGTTATATGTTTTCATGGCCACATATTTATGTAAAATTTTCAAAAGTTTGATGTTTCATTTGTAATAAAACCATTAAACCTTTCATTTTGAATGTTCACTTAATCATACTTCAGATCATGTAGTTACATAACTGGTGTTTCTCTGTTTGGAATTTTGCTTGTTGTAGTTGTCTTCATTTTAATGCTTGTTATACATTATCTTATCATTCTAAATAAATATTCACTTTCATGTTTGATTTTGTATTATTTTAAAATAAAGCTTTCCAAATTGCATAAGCTTTAGATTCCATAGAACCTTCTCTTGGTCTGCCTGATAAAGACCGAGACTGCTTTAACATAACTGTATCAATCCACAGAACTTCCTTATGATCTTGAGGAGTATTTGACAACTGACCATCACCACACTATATGTGGGACTCATACACTGGGAAAACACACCATATGTACTCTATAGTATTCCCTTTGATTCCAATATATTTCCCACATTTCGTTTTCTCAGAGCCATTTCTATCTTTTGTTTCTGATATTATCTTTACTACCTCATTTGTGTATTCACTCATTCATACATTTGATAGGAGAGCAAGCAATGGTTTAAAGCTCTGCTCTGCTCTAAGTGTTTAAGGTGACCCAAATGATAAGGCCAGATTTAAAGTGATCCAGGTGACAATCTAATTTCTAAAAGCACTAGGATGCACTACTTTATCATAATAGTGAGTAATATTTATTAATCTCACTGCCTGTATTTGAAAACCAGAGTGCCAGGCTTCCCCACATTTGTGAGTTATTGGGTTTGGGGTAAAAGGTAAGCTGCCTGATTCCTCCTGGTATGTCATTTATATTGTGGCATATATTGAAGTGAGGGAGATGTATCTCAGACATGCATCTATTTTCCTCTTTGCATGAGTTGGTGTTTGGGGTGTGGGAGTGGATGAGTTTGGCTTCCCACTCAGTATGGATTCTGAGATCCCTTTCAGCCTGAGTGGTTGAGGCCAGCTCTAAGAATGCTTTAATCTGAATCTTTAACCTACATTTGTATGTCTGATAAGCATGCCAACCTAATTCATTGGATTAAAGAGACCCCCATCTCTTCCAATCATAAGGCAGATTGTCTAATATCAGGACCATATTATAATTGAAAGGTTGGCAGAGAAGCATGGAAACTATTCACAACATTCACAGGTTTCTATATCAATATATGTGTCCTAATAAGGAAAGAGTACAACTCTGAGACCTATAATAGTGATGGGTGTGAAAATCTTGGATATATACAATCCCAACTCCTCAGCCAGCCAAAAATAGCCCCTAACCCTTGCTATTAGAAAACAGCTTTCTTCTTCATGGAGACAAGGCAATAACCTCATCTAAGGCAGCTACCTCAAAGGACATTGTTATCTTAACATCCAGCACATATTTTTCATTGATCCCAATTCATGACAAGGGTAAGGTATCACCACACCAAAAGCAAAATGCAGTCTGTTTAGGTGGAATATCCTAACCTAGTTAAAATATACCAGCATGTTTTGGAATGGATTTTGAGGATGTCAAATTAGCAACGGATTATAAGTGGATATAGGGGAAAATTTACATGGGAGCACACATTTGTGACTGCTAGGTGGCATCTTTAAGTTTGGACAACAGCCTACAGTCAATAAGATGGAGATAATGGAACTTCTTTGCCAGAGTATTGAGGAATTGGTGAGAAGGTCAAATGAAATGAGGGTAGTAGAAATTAATCAAGAAGACCAATCTCTATTTTCCCCTGGAGGGCAGAGAAAGCACTACTATAATAGTGTGTGTGTGGGGGGGGGGGGGCATACATTTTTAGTAGCTCAGTGTTGGCACCCCTCTACAAATCATGATTAGAAGCAAACTATGTTACACTAGGAATTATAGGATTCCAGAATGACAGGGTCCAGGTGGCAGAACAAAAGCTCAGGGGCAAGTTGAGTGTCATTACCATAATGAGAAGTAAGGTGAGAGTGGAGTCAGGCTACTGTGACTGACAGAAATATGTGCGAATGCCTTACAAATAGAATTCCAAGGCTAAATGTATGGACAATTGACTAGAGTATTAGCTATGTTCATAGTTTTGCTATTTACAATAGTTAAGATGGAGAAACAGTCCAAGGGCCCTTCAGTAGATGAGTGGATAAAAAAGCTGTGGTACATATACACAATGGAATACTATTCAGCTGTAAAAATGAAGGATATCTTACCCTTTGAGATAACATGGAAGGACCTGGAAAGTATTATGTTAAGCAAATTAAGCCAGTCAGGGAAAAATATCACATTATCTCACTTATATGTGGAATCTGATGAGCAAAATAAACTGACAAAATAGAGCCAGAGCCATGGATGCATGGAGCAGACTGACAGATATCAGCGGGAAGGGCAGTGGGGACAGGTGGGAGGAGATTAAGCAAAAAAACTTATATGCATATATGCATAGCCCATGAACACAGACAATAATTTGGTGTAAGCCTGTGGCAGCAGCAGAGCTGGGTAGAGGGGTGCAAAATGGGAGGTATATGGGGGACATTTGTAATACTGTCAACAATAAAAAATAAATTTTAAAAAATTGGGGAGAAAAAGAAAAACAGCTTTGGCAAGTTAAAGTCTAAAGTCAGCAGTTTCGTGGAAAATCTTGACCCCCAACTTACATTTTTTTTTTCAGATATGTGGTGCAAGTAGCCTTGCCACTCAGACCATATGACTCAGCACATTTTGATAGTGTCTTAAGGTGTCTATGGTGGATAAGGATCCACTAACTAGTCATTCTAAGCCATAATATGGCATTGCAACACAGAATCTAAAGTTCTGAACAAAAGCCATACTTCCTGGGCCAGTAACCTACTTGCCATGTAAAAAAACAGCTCCTTGATACTATTTAGAATTAGTAGATATGGAGGGCCTAACCAAGGTACAGTGATTGACTATATGACAGGC